GGATTTGAGAATACATATGAAACAAATTCAGATTTAGAAGATGAGCCAGTGCCCATATCAATTGATGAGGTGCTTGTTCTATCTTGTATTTAGTTCGGAGGGGGAGGGAGGCCATGGGGGTGTAGGTATCCATGCAATGCTTTACTGTTTGGATATCAATGGAATTTGTACATGCTTGCTACTTAAGTTTGTATCTCTAATTTCAGTGTCTGTATCAAAGGAGCCATAGAGGAGGCTCTGCCAGCAGGATAAAAGGCAGCGCTGCCATGAGTCCTAGGTGAAGGCTCTCCAAGCGAGTGAGGTCAACACCACCAGAAGAGGCTGCTCATGGATTTTGTACTCGAAGGTCTTTCGCTGGCAAAAGGGTGGAGGTAGCAGCAGTAGGTGAACATAATTCTCCATCACGACCGACACCCGAACTCAGGGATCAATTCCAAGTTCATCAATTGACTGGAGACATTGGTCAGGATGGCACCCTACCTAGCCCTGAGAGAGACTCCTCACGGCTAGATGATGATAGCCCTGCTAAAGAGGAGCCTTCTTAGCAAACTCCCGTCTCCTCCACCCATAGAACAATGAAAGTTGCTTCGGTTGGTATTACCTTACAGATGTCTATCAATCAATTTACACTAGCTATTTGATATCCATGTAACTTTTCTGATAATCTAAATGTATGAAAACTATGTAGTACCATTGCTGGGAAGAGCGAGGAAGCTGATGCCTCAAACTCATGAAATTATGCTTGACAAAATGAGCAAATCACTAGGAGGAGCGAGGATGCACATCTCTGTTGCCGAGGGGAACAGAAGCCCACATGATCCAGTGCAAGCTGCCAAGTTTGCCTCAGAGGCAGGTGTAGTAGTCAGAAAGGAAGTACCAATTTTGACACATTGGAAAGAATACAAGGGGGAGAAGCCTGGCGCCGTATATTGCACAAGATTTGTTGAAAGGCTAAATGTATGTATGGGTATCCCCTCTTGACATTCAACTCTGCTTTGAGCAACTTTAATGGATTTACTTTTCATTCACACTATTGTGTGCAGGGAAGGCTGCGTGTTAACAATGCTCACTCACCAACAAAAAAAGCTTGCTAAAATGTAATGCAATCTATAGTATGGCAAGAACGCTACAGGTTGAAGAAAACATACTTCAATGGCATCTCTGCTAATCAGATCCGTATGACCTCCTGTCTCATCCATGAACGACGCACAGTGGTGTGAACTTGTCAAGATTTGGTCTAGTGCTAAGAACAAGGTGTGTGAACCTATCGATTTCCTGTCTAGTCTTGCTATGGTCTACTTATGCTGCTGTCTAATACAAATGAAGCTATAGGAAACATCTGAGAAAAACAAGCAAAACCGTGCAAAAGTAAAGTACCACCAGGCTATAGGATCTCACTCCTATGTTGTCCAGATGCAAAAATTTGTAAGTGATGGTTGTATTTTATTGTTACTCTTGCCTTTGTATAAATATAAAGCGAAACTCATGTGCAATATGAACAGAAGGAGAACAAGAGGAATGCAGCAGAACAACATCAAGGACTTGAAGAAGAAAATGGTCCACCTGATGAAGATGTTAATGATGTGAAAGTCTTCAGGGACTTCCATACCAGTACAAAAAATGGCCTGAGCAATGCTGCAAGAGCAGCAGTTGTAAAGTACCTTCTTTTGCTTCCCTTGAAATCTACTGAAGCCATCGCCATAAAAGAAGGAAACATAGCAGGAGCCTAGTGTTATAGAAATCTACTAAAATCTATTGAAGCTTATGTAATCTCTATCAGCAGTAGGCTGAGGAAGACCTAAGCATTACTTGTTATGAATCAATCTCTTGAGTTTTCAATTGAAGTCCTCTTACACTATCTGTAACCTAATGTTTTACTGATTGAATTTTGTAGAAAGCTATGGAAACTATGCAAGCAGAACATGTTGCTGATGGACAGTAACCAATTACTAGTGCTGATGTTGTTTGCAAGGTCCTCTACGTCCACTAGGGCAAGGCCCCCCTCCCAGGGAAGCGACAACAACCTTTTTTAAAGAATGCTGGTATCCAGACAAGCTCCACCAGAACAGAGACATCGCAGAGAGAATGCTTTAGGAATAGTTTGCTGCTGAACAGGAAAGTTCCGCTACCCTCGTCGATCAAGTGAATGAACTGAAGAGAAAGACAGAAAAGACTGAAAGGGAGCTTGAGGAATACAAGAAATGACAACAGAAAGAGTACAACAATCTCTGTGAGCTATGCACACGCTTTAGCTCTACTGATAATTCTCAGTCTTCAACTCATGTGGCTTGATGCAGTGAACATTTGTGGTTTGATGTGTGAACTCATATGCTGGTTTGATGTGTGGACTCATATGCTGGTTTAATGTGGTGATACTTTGTCAGTGATTCGTTGCTGACGTGTGAACTATAAATTGTTGTTATTTGATTGCCAGGTTAAATAGTTATGTAGTCAGTCTGTGCAGTAGTGATGATCTCCAATTACTTCTATGACGAATTGATAGTACTTCATGCGGTAGATCCAAGACAGACCATATGATCAAATAAAAATACGACACGTGGACGAACCAGTACACGACACATTAATTGGCTAGGGCACGACACGTGAGCTATTAAAAATCCAACACGTGGAAGGAAAGTGTTAAGCCACGTGGACATATAAAAATACGACACGTGGACGGACAACATAGTGACGCGTGGTCAAATAAGAAACAGAGACATGGACCATTAAAAATACGACATGTGGTCCAATGAAGAAGTGACACATGATTCAACAGCAACACGACACGTATGCTAGTACAAAACTGACCTGTGGAACAACAGGAAAACGACACGTGGTCCAATAAGAACATGAAATGTGTAAGAACCAAAGATGGCCACGTTGTGCAATAAGAAGGTGACACGTACCCTAATCATCTCCAATACAATCGGCTATAGCATGTATACGTGGGCTATAGCATGTACACGTGGAAAACATCTCCAAAGGAAGCGCCCACTAACATGGCAACCCCCTGCCACGCATGCCAAAACAGTTCTATGACGATATTTTTTTGTCACAGATCAAAAGCACTTCTATGACGATTTTGCTAGATTTGTCATAGATATGCAATAGTGACGTGACTTCTATGATGAACCGGTTTTTGTCATAAATTCGTCATAAAACTAAAATTATGACGAATTTGGCTCATTTAGTGACGAAATATATTCGTCATAGAAGTGGATATTTCTAGTAGTGTAAGTAGTGCTTTCATTTGTGATGTCAACTATCAAAAATCGACTATGTACTATAGAGGTATACACGAGGGACCTCAAGCATGGGTACGTCACAGGCCGTACTTATGGAGGACACATGAGTTTATACTAGTTTGGGCCTCCGAGGTGGAGTAATACCCTAATTAAGTTCAGTGTGGAGCTTGTATAATGAATTTTAGGAGTAAATTTATGTGAATTAAGCTTGATTGTAAGAGAGGTTAGATCTAATATAGATAAAATTTCTTATATGGCTCTATTAAAACTAACCCTTCCTTTCGTGGCCTTCAATTTTGAACTTACCTAATTTACCCCAAATCAATCTTTCATTCTTTTAGTGGCCTTTCCATAAGTTTTCTCCTATAATGGTGTTAGGTAGGGGACGAAAAGACCATTTTGCCTTTGGACGTACTACAGAGTTCAGTGTTTCATTGTATGTTTCACATATGTAGTTTAGTTTGTATGTGTTTCCTTTTGAGCATTATTTTGCCTTCTTTCGCATGGTTTTAGGTTACATAAAAGAGATCATTGTCAAATTAAATCCGAATTACATCAAAGGAGGATTAGCATTCAAAAACTTAATTTTGATCCTTCTCCTAACCATGATAACTAAAATCGCCGTACTCCAATTATATCTTGTAAAAACAAATCATTACAACATACAAGCAGAGATCAACGAATGTGTGTATTACAATATAGAACACAAATTATTTTGAAATGTCAAATTAGTTTAACAACAGGTGCAAAAAAGCACTTTTGCATAAATTCGTACAGAAGTCTTATACCAAACCTACGAAATTACATGCCTTAAGAGCATCTCCAAAAGTGTTTCTAAAACTTATTTTCTAAAGTATTATTTGGAGAGTCTTTTGAATAAAAATTGTTTTCCTATATTTTGTGCGCACTAGAGAGTCAATCTCGTTGTCTCTTTTTGATAGCGAGAAATCCAAAATAAAGAAGGACTATTTTAGATATCTAACTAGATAAGTTGTTAAAGAATTTTTTTTTATATAAAAATCTCTATTCCTAACTACTCAATCCATTCCAAATTGTAAGACGTTTGACTTTTTTGACACCAAATTTGACCACTCGTCTTATTCAAAAATTTATGTAAAATATCACTTCTTTCGTCGTGGTTTGGTTTATTAATAAAAATTCTTAAAGAATGACTTAAATTTGATTATATTTGCACAAATTTTTTGAATAAAATGAGTGGTTAAACTTAGGGCAAAAAAAATGAAACATCTTACAATTTGAGATGGAGGGAGTATTTTAGAAATGATATAGACAGCCTAAACCAAGACTTTGTATTGCAAGAAATTTGGTGGCCTCCATACCTCCAACAAGGGGCTGTGAACATTATTATTCTCTCCCCCATCAAGATCACAGCGGGGAAAAATAATATACTGTCCCCATCTCCTTCCGCTTTTGCTTCATGTTTGATTCCCTTCTCCTTCCCCCCCCCCGCCAACCCGCGTGCTCTTCGATCTTTCAAGTTTCAGGTTCGATCTCTCTGCCCTCAAAAGTTGTTTCGTAATCATTCTGTTCCTCTCAAATCCTTGCTTGTGATTAATGCCTAGCTATTTTCTACTCTTCGAGTTTGCAGATCGGCACAGTTTTGGTCGCAACGGCGTGGTATTTCTTCCTGATTTAGGGTTCTTCGGCTTTGGATGATCAGGAGTTTCTGGATTATTTTAGCAGGGAACAGAATGGTGTGAGATTGGTTTACAGCCTGGATCTCTCTTGCATCAAATGGTTGAGCAAGGCAAATCACGAAGCATCCGGGCGAAGGCGAAGAAATCGCCGTTTGTGGAACTAGAGGCTGACGAGATTGGCCAGGCTAGTGGTGTGGTGTTCGCAAGGGAATCAGCGCTGGCGCCTAAGAACGACCAAGGATGCAGCGTCAGCCATAGTCATGGGGACGACGAAACACAGGAATCGGATGGGTGCGTGCAAAGCCAGGGGCTAGACGAGCATGGGTGGGTGGACTTCGGTCACTCACTGCAGCTGGTGCTGTTCTCGCGGCAGTGGAGCCTTGCTGAAAGTCTTGTTGATCTAGCAGATCAGCAGTCGATGCTGGATTATGGCCTGTCGATTGCCCTTGATGCCATATGGTTCTTGCGGACGAAACGGGATCTTGAGGGGCTCAACAGTCTGATAGCGAAGATTGTGGCCTCAGGGGCAAAGGATTTTGCCAGAGCAATCCTCAGGACGTCGCTGCTTGCATCATGTGTTGCAGCCTGCCAAAGCAAGGCTATCACTGTGGGTGATAGCAAGGAGATTGTCGCAGAGAGGTGACTCAGCTTACATATAAATGTTTTTATTCAGAATATATTGCTTAATACATTATTAGTGATGTTATTTCTTTTGGTGTTGAAATTTAGATTGCATGAACGTCTGCGAGATTGTCCTGGTGCCGAGCATCTAAAAATAGAGGCAGGTGCCAAGGTGCAGAAGTTTATGGAATGGGCTTTACAGTGTATTCATATGCACCATTGTTCTGAAGACACACATAGGTACAGATGGAGCTGCAATACTCTCCAAGAGGTACAGCTTCATTTATCAGCATTTAGAACCTTCTTGGACATAGCTGGTGACAACTTAAGTGGCAAGATTTTCACTGAGGCATTTGATGCGGTCTGCTTTCCCCTTACACTCTTCTCAAGTTTATTTGAACCTGGATGGTCTTCTGGGAGTTCAGCAGTCTCCATTAAGGGCCTTTTATCATTGCTGGTGGAAGGAGGTGCTGACAATGTAAATCAGTGTTTCCTTGAAGCAGCACGCTTTGGAAGTACTGAACTTGTACGCATTCTGCTGGAGGTAATTTTAGTTCTCATTAATCTTGATGTAGAAGTTAACAATTCTGTTTAATCAAATACTAAATGTGCAAATGAGCATGTTTTGCTTTTCTTTAGTAGCTATTTGATTATGGAGTTGTAACTAAAGTATTATACCCAGAGCTCTAGGTTGTTTTCTTAGTTTTTCTTATCTTCTATTACTAGAGAGGCGAATTTTGGCAAGCCATATAGTAAGATGCAATATTGCAATGTTTTAAATGGAAATACAGTTGTGGACAATGTTTACCCGAGCCATAAATTCTGGAATTAGTTGCAGTTTAAGATGATATTTTAACCTATAGTCCTTTCTGATGCTTGTTGCCACCAAATTCTTTGTTTATGCCAAATATAATTACTGGATGATACTAACATTGATTTGCACTCTGTTGTGTAGAATACACACTTTTCTAATGAAACTTTCTATTGCAACTCTATGTCATACATGTGGGGTGTTCCAAACTTTGGACTGTACTTTGGCATATATTTGTTTTTTATCCATAATTTTACATTCAGCCAACACATAGTCAACAGTTCATTTTCTTCCCAAAGTATAGTTCAACACAACGGGTTCCCAAAGTATAGTTAAGTTAGGGCAACTGGCAACTAATCTGATGGCCAAAATTCTGCATGTCCTTTGGTTAGGTTTTTTGGGCTTCGGTAGGATCATCTAACTAAACAGTAAACACACAATAACTTCAAAATTTTGGATTACCCTGTTCCAATGTTATCTTTCGGTTTATTCCCACTCCTTAAGAAGCTCAATATGCCTTTGCTGACTATGCTATTAGTAATAAGTAACTAACATTTGCATGTTGTCTTCCTCTTTGAGCACTTGGGCTTTTAACTAACTTTTTACATTCTAGAATTTAGAGCATGCCTTTAAAGTACTTATAAACTAGCTGAGGTGATTTTGTGCGTTCCCAAGAAATGGATTGGGCCTATGTGCATGTTAAACTAAAATGCTGAGTTACTGAAGTAGATTTTTTATGAACATTTTTAGCTGCGTCGGTTATTCTAAATTTGGCCTGAAATACTGCTCTTCTTCACAGAAGTAACCATATTCATGATAGTGTAACCATCTTTTCTCAATATTTTGTTATCATCTTCCTCTTTTGAGTCACCAAGTCTGGTGCAGTGGTGAGAGCTGTCTCATTGAGTCACCAGGTCTTGGGTTCGAAGCAGCCTCTCCGCAGATTTGTAGGGGGGGAAGGCTTGTCTCGGTTTTTCCCTTCTCCAGACCCCACTCATGTGGGAGTCTCTGGCACTGGGTCTGCCCTTCCTCTTTTGAGTCTTTAGCTTTAATAACTATGTATCTAGACTCGAGAATCCTTAAAGTAGGAAATGTTGGCCTCGTTTAGCGAAAAATGTTGATGCTGAAGTGTTTTAAGCTAAAAGGCAAGTTTTATAGGACGGCGATTAGACCTGCTATGTTGTATGGTGCAGAATGTTGGCGTACGAAAAGACAACATGTTCAACAGATAAGTGCCGCGGAAATGCATATGTTGCGTTGGATTTGCGGTCATACAAGAAGGGATCGAGTTCGGAGTGATGATATACGTGATAGATTAGGGGTAGCACCAATTGAAGAAAAGCTTGTCCAACACCGGTTGAGATGGTTTAGACATGTCCAACGGAGACCTTCAGAGGCACCGGTGCGTAGTGGAATCCTAAGCCAGGATAGTAACGTGAAGAGAGGCAGAGGAAGACCGAAATTGACTTGGGTAGAGGCAATAAAAGGAGACTTGAAAGGATGGAATATACCCAAAGACTTAGCCTTAGATAGGAGTGCTAGGAAAACAGTTATTCACGTGCCTAAACCTTGATTGCTTCTGCTGGGTTTCAACTCTAGCCTACCCCAACTTGTTTGGGACTTAAAGGCTTTGTTGTTGTTGTTGTTGATGCTGAAGTGTAGTTTGAGATTTTGCTTTCTCAATTTTGGCCTGAAAAGGAATCTACAAGTTTTATTGACCAATTAAAAAAATTAAAGTTGTATACAAGAAAAATCTAAATATTTCTTTATTCGAATATGATTCTAATTACACCAATGCGATCACATAAAAACAATATTGGTACAGTGTTCGTCAAGATATAGATCACTCCTAATGTTTTATTATCCAAATTCCAAAAATATTGGTACCAAAGAATTAGAAAAGGGAGGGAGTGTTGAGTTTGGCTATAGGCCACTGCAAAATTATGACATTTGCATGACCATGCGCAAAACTAAAAATGAATTGTCCATGCCATACAAGATTGTGGTCATTTGGCAGAACATAACTTTCTCCATAGATGTAGACAATTGCTGGAAGCTTTTGTGCTTGATGGGCAGGACTAATTAAGGTTACCTGTAACAAATATAGAATCGTATCACATACTTATTCCATTTATACTCTATGGGATCTTAAGGAGCCTAGGCATGGTTGGGCTATGATCATAGAAAATATTCTCCTGCAGTGGCGGAGTGCAGCACCAAATCAGGAGTAGGGGTGGTGGTTGGGAGGCGGTTGCTACTGCTACAGAAAGCAATGGCAGGCTTCCTGGCTATCCGACTGCTTGTTTCTGGGGCACCATAGGTACACTTGTAGGCAAAGGAATAGCGACAAAGCCCACTTCGCCCATTCATTATATACCCCTTCAATGCTTGGGCGGCGAACTATTTGGATGCCTGTTCGTCTTCTCCGACCAGCTGCAGCAGCATCTAACAACTGCAGGTACTGAGGTCAGTGCACGGAGCAAGGCGGTGGGGGTAGGGGGAGAACCCAGTTTCGCCTCCACTAAGATTTCACCCCTGCTTCCTAGATAGGAGACTTATGAGTTGATTGGGTGCAGAGACACCTTTTTGGTCGTGAGCATAGAGGTTTTTCTTCCAGTTTAGATGTAAATAATTGCTGAAAATCTGTCGTATTATCCTAGAAATGTCAACTATTGTATTGACCCCTTAAATATCTTTGAAAAGTACATTTCACAAAGAACAGCATGACAATGCAACAGTATTTTTTGCCCCCTTTATGCAGGTTGCATATCAGAATAGCTTGGCTGTGGACACTGAGCTGGCTCTAGTGTATGCCTCTCATTACTGCAAGTTCAACACAATGGAATGCCTAGTTGATGAAGGGAACGTGAGTTCTTTCCTTAGTCCTCTGATAAAAGCTGCAGAGCGTGGGTGCTTGCAGGTTGTCCACTGGTTTGTCAGCCGAGGCATCTCTGAAATTGAGATGTGCCTTGCCCTGACGACTGCTACCTCCAGCGGCCATTTCATGGTGGCCTCGTACCTGCTTGCACATATCCCCCAGCAAATCCTTGAAGCTCTCAGCACACAGATCCTCAAAGCTGCGAGGGGCCAGGGCAGCAGGTCGCTTGATGGTGTCACCTTCCTTCTGAGGTCCAACTTCCTAAGAGACGCAGCTGCAACATACGAGGCTGCAGACATCATTGCAACCGGGGCACCAACGGCGAGCCCCGGACCTGGTTGCCTTCCTGAGAGAACACTGGTCCCAGAGTGCGTTTGCTGAAGGGGTGAGCACCGGTGAAATGCACTTCGTGAATGTCATGAGGGTCCTCAGGAGGGGCGCGTCCCCGATCTGCCTGGAGGACCTCCTGTCTGAGATGGTGCTCGGCATCACGTACCTGCCACTGTACCATGAGTGCGTGAGCGCAGGTGGGCAGCTGCTGCCCCAAAGGCTGAGGGGGAGCTGCTGGAGGCGGTGCACCGGCTCGGTGAGTCTGCTGGCACGGAGAACCAGGGAAGGACCTCGTGCGGGCACTGGGCGGCACATGCCATCATTCTTGGTTGGATCTTGAGATGTTTCATCAAGGTGTAAAAGAAAGCTTATGCAGGTTACCTTTCTTTAAAAGTGTATGAAGCAGTGTGCAGTTGCCAACTTCCAGTAGAGGTGGAAGTAGCAATAGTTTTGGTGCGTCATATGCCTCATGATCGTGTAAAGAAGTTTTGTTTTTGGTTTGTATTTTGTATAAGGAAGAAGTTTTCCTTCTTGATTGCCTATTGAAGGGGCCTCTGTGTTTATCCATCACTCCAATCCATGTGGTGTCTCAACTCTGGATGTTGGTAACACCATCAGAGCGATGTTTGAATTGCGATCAGCAAAGAACCAGCCTGTTCTTTAGCCTATTCGGCTGCTTGTATTTTCCGCTGCTGCTGGCTGCTACCAGTTCATCGCTACAATGATGTATGAGGAAGTAAACAGCCACAGCAGCAACCTAGCTTCCAATTATTTTCTAGGGTGCGCAGGAGACGTGCATGTCTGATTGTGCGCGTAGTAGTGGTGTTAGTGTAGTTCTTGTTGAGTGTTTGCGTGCGTGCCTGCGTTGTGTGTAAAATGACTTTCAAGAAATGGATTCTTTTGCGAAGAGACATTTGGTGGGAGCAATGTCTAGGACTCTAGGTTCTGTTCCTCCGATGTCGGCCGTGTGCATTTTTTAGAATTTTGTTAGTACAGCGTTGAACAGACGAAAACCCCAATTCCAATTCAACGAGGGTTCACTCGTTTTGAAAAGGAGCGAACACTGTCTCCACCGCACTGCATGCATCCCCCCGCTCCTGGCCCACTCCTATTGCGCTTTTTTCCTATTTTTTTCTTTATTCTATGCACCCACTCCTGCTGCATGCGCCCACTCCTGTCCACTTCTCCTGCATGCGTCCACCCAAGCGGTTCTTTTTTTCTTTTTTCTTTTCATTTTTATTTATTTTTTCTTTTATGTGATTTTTAGTATTCTTTTCATCTTTTAATATTTTTAATCCTTCTTTTAGCAAGTTGTATAGAATAACTTATATACATAAGTTATGCTCGATAACTTTTGTACGTAGGTTGTGTTTAATGACTTTTTTTAAGTTTTGGTATAAATTACAAGTTAATTAGCAAGTTGTATAGAATAACTTATCTACACAAGTTGTATAGCATAACTTATATACACAAGTTATGTTTGATAACTTTTGTACATAAGTTATGTTTGATAACTTTTGTGTTT